AGTCAGTAAGAGTCTGACACTCGCTGTCGCCACACCCTAGGCGAGAGAAGCCAGTTGATGATTTTCCCTCCTCAAAAAAAAGGTATAGCTTATAGCTTACACAGTATATTTTACAAACTAATATCCTGAACAATTTAACAGAGAAAGCGATCTTACATATGTTTCACATTATTGTAACAATATTTACAAGAAACTAATACGACCATCAATCACAAAACACTCTATTTTTTATTTTAAGCTTTTTAGAATTTATAAAAATGTTTGAAACGCCCTTGACATAGAGACTCTCGAATATATTAATATCACTCTACTCGTGACAAGAGATTTATCAACACGCATTAAAAACAAAAAAAAAACGCAGACTCCCGCCACATCATCCTACACCAAACAATCCAATCGATTTTCGACTTTATATCAAAGTGTTAATAATCAAATTTATTTGAAGACATTGAAAATAGACTTGCGTTCGCCCCAACACGACTTCAAAATATTGTTAAAATTGTAAACGGATCATTTAATGTCTTTACGAGCTACACGCACAGATAAATAATAAAAATGGCCACTGAAAATAAACGCATGTTCTAAATTCAAATTCCGGCTAACCCAAACTGAATGATTGATATTAATCTTTATTGCAATAATAATAATGACAATAATCGATTCTTTTATTTTTTAGGAAAGAATTCGTTTGTTATTATGATTCATTTATCATATTATTTTATAAATGGAAGTATTTTAATTTGTCTAGCAAAAAGTTTGAGATATTGGAAAAAATAATTCAGATGTAATGTTTTATTTTTATTTTTTTTCCTCTAATACTCTTTAAGGTCACATAATGGTATACATATACATGGATAAGTCGTTGTTTCCAATGAATTTTTACATAATTATAATGTAGGTACCTAATGAATTTGTGTCACGATAAGTAGTTACTAAATATTTAAGTATTAGGATACTATTTTAAATTCGAACGACGAACTCGGTTGGGGTTTTATAAATTAATTAAGTACCTTTTCAGACCAATTTTTCATAACACCCATATAACCTAAATACAATACATAACTCAATGATGTATAAAACTATAGATACGTTGTCTGCGCTCTAAAATGACAACATGAAATGAAGGCAATTGACAACATCGCGCTTAGTTACGCACCAACCTGCCGCGCGACGCTACGTTTGTTTTAATTTATATCGTGTGTGAAAACCTGTGCGAAACGTGAAGAAAGCTTGTCGTTATGTGTGTTCAGACTATGTACAAATTATACTCCAAAAGTTAAAGACAAAAATGTGTCATTTCATGCGTAAGTTCACCAAACAACCTATTTTTATTTTATTTTTTTCGACGGGGGCGCCCGCCATATTATGGCGGCCGGCGCATGAAGGTATAGTCACGTGCCGTCGGCATAACTGAAGATGTATATTTATCTCCCTCTAGCAAAGGCATTCCACTATACGATGACATATTTTCTTTCCCTTTCTTTACTCGTAGAAGTAGTTATCTAGTATTTTCGCCGTTTTTAAGCGCCGCGATGTTGGTTCATGACGTGTCTATATATAATACGTCATTGACATAACTTGACAAAATGAACTATAAAGTTCAATAAAAGGGTGCATATCCAGTGCTTCGCAACAGCCCACCTACAGCCACAAAAATAATGTTCTAACAATATCTGTTTAAGACCAAAGGGCGGCCTAATAATATCAGCCAGAGAAAAAGGCCAAGTTCAACCAGATGCGTATAGATATAGTTAGGAACGAACGCCAGCAGGTCAAGCTACCCTGAACCGTCAACATTTTCATTGAATTTTCGACTTTGTATCAAATTGTATACGGTTGAAAATTCAATAAAGAATTTTGACAGAGTTAATGAGCTGCCATCTGTACGCCGCCCGGTTCAACGACATGGTGGATTTAGTAGCAAATGGGTTTTGAGTTCGGTTGTATAGGGAAGTTAAGGAACAAATTTGTTCAATTTGAAAGTTATGAAAAGGGAAAGTTTGTTTTACGAAGCGGTTACATACAAAACGTGTTTATTTATTTTCTATTACCATACCGATACATAATATTGTGTAGTAAAGATTCTGTTCTTTTTCTGTTTCCTTTGATTACATCAAAATATGAATTGACAAATGAGCCGGCATGTCACCTAATTGTAAATAATCGGCTCCACTAATTAAAGGTGGCCTCACAGAAAACCGGCGTGAAACAATCACAGCCGAGTGTTTCGCCGTGTGAGCGAGGTTATCGGAAGCTCAATCCTTACCCTCCCCAAGGATAAGGATTGTGGATGAATGCTCCACAATCCTTAAATCTCCTTAACCCTAATCCCCACAAGGGTGGCAATGACAACAAAGACTTTGGTCTCCATGGGCGGCGCCCGAGCTTACCATCATTTGCACGTGTACGCCGATCTAAGCTTTAAAAAAGTAAAATAATTAATTAGGTACTATGTCTAAGCATTTGTAAGAAAATGTAAGTACATTATATTGTTTCGGCATTATTCTGGATAAGAACTTATTTGTCAGTATTGAACAAGCAGTACCTAAATGATAGATGGGTATTACTTACATTAATTATCATTGATGAAGACGTATTATCCGTTGATGTTTTATTTCTATAGGTATATAAAATACTAATAATATGTACTCTACTTCACTATGTAGGTACTCATTTGAACCTACCAATACCAATAATTTCATTGCAATAAAAGAAAAATCTTAAAACATTTCCGATACGTTCGTCAAACTCTCTAACAACAGACACACGATGAATTCTTTAATTTCTTAACCTATTTTAATAAAAAGTAAACAAATCCCAAAACATACCTTTCAAACTTCTTACGAAAAAGTTCATTAAAACTTCATTATACCAATTCTAACTGTCAATAAAAAACAAACATTGGTTTTTCGATCATCAAAACATTTATCCAGCCAGTTGTAAAAAGAAAGAAAGACATCCTTGAAAAAGTTTTACAAAAGTAGTTCATATATCAATCCACAATACCCTTTAGAAATGATAGCGTGAAGAAAAATAACCAAATGAATGTGTTTTATTGTTAGAGAATTGTGCCAACTAGTACCAAAGAGGTCTACTCAAATTAGAAAACATGACAGATGGACTGGCAGATACATGCGATGGCGCCAAAGCCAAAATACTTCTAATAAATTTAGGAAACATTAGAATTTGACATTTGTCTTTACAAAATATTTATGTTGGATATGAGAACGCTGAACATGGTGTTTAAGAATGTGTTTGAATTAAGAATGCGTTTGAATTCAGTCGTGCTATGTCCTGTCTAATAATTATTAATCTAATCATTATTTATGTAATAATCTAATCATAACGTATTTACGTTTATTGAAAACTAGTTACTCTAGCGCGGTTTCACCCGTTGCGGATCCATTTGATCGTAGCGTGATTAATTATAGTCTATAACACTTAGGAACATTGTAGCTATCCATCAGTGAAAGAATTTTGGCAATCCGGCCACCGGTTTCAAAGACTACTCCCTACACACAAACTTAAAAATTTTAACTCTTTCTAAAATTAGTATAGGTTATAGATTAGCTACTCGCTCGGTTCCTCCATTTCACCGAAGAGTGATTAACATCACGCTGTTTTTCCTTTATAGCCTTCCTTGATAAAAGCACTAACGAACACAACGGCAATTGTTAAATACGGACCGGTAGTTTCAGAGATCCGCGCTTTCAAATAAATAAACTCGAAAACGCGAAGAACCCCGGTGTGACTTGAGTGTAGTAGAGCTTTTTTCAGTTGATTCACGTGAATAAGTCGTAAGTAATTCTGTCTGTCTGTCTTTTATTCACGCCTTAACTACTGAACCGATTTCTGTGAAATTTGGTACAGATATAGTTTGGAACTCGAGAAAGGACATAGGATAGTTTTTATAACAAAAATCTGCAGAAAGTCATTATTCCACGCGAACGGAGTCGCGGGCGAAAACTACTTTTCAATAAATTTGGTATGTATTACAATGGTTAGGTTACTCTATACAAAAATAGTAACGTATCCAGTTGGGTTCGTTTCTAAACTGTACGTGAATAGTAACAAAAGACTTTCGCTAAACAACTTAGAAATCTCTATAAAATATCAAGATTTCAAATTGAAAGACTTTTTCCAACCCTAACGAACCCGTATCACAATGTCACTATTATGAAACTGTAATTCAGATCACGTGTCATTTTCATACCTAGTATCCAATACGATGAAAAATTCATAACATCTAGAAAAATCCCAGGCGAGTCAAATTTTCAATATACGGCACTAATAATTCACAACCCTGTATGTACCAAATGTATTGTGTATTGGAGGACGTTGACCCTTAGAAAAATATATTAAGAACGACCCTAAATTTTAAGGTAAAAATCGTGACTAGTGTTAGTGATTTATTTTACAAATAACTAGCTATTCTCGCGCGGTTTCACCCGCTGCTAGGCTCCATTAAATCGTAACGTGATGTTTTATAGCCTATAGCGTTTAGGAACATTGTAGCTGTGAAAGAATTTTGGAAATCCGACCAGCAGTTCAACACAAATTTTACCTCTTTATAATATTAGTATAGATATTTCTATTTGCTACACTGTATTAATTTACTGCGGCTCTTAAAACAAACGTTATTTTGGTACAAAGTGCCTCCGAATGTAAAGGTTTTCATTTTAACGCGACCAAAACGTTACCGGGCTTAGCTCTCTGATTGGAATAATTAATTTGGTGCAGACCAATCAGAGCACCAAACGTCATATATGTATCGATTGCCTTGACGTAAAGAAAATAACAGAGGGAGTGTTTTGCTTAACAGTTTTCTCCAGGTTTTCTGTGAAGCCGTGGTACAACTCCGGTCGAGTCGAAGCATGGCTGTCCCACACTTTAAATCCTTCTTAATAACAGAAGGACCCTTACATTTTTGATAATGTTGAAACAATATAGATTGACTTCACAAGTATTTTCCATTAATCAATCCCTTTTTTTGTTTGTAGGTCGATGTATTCCTGTCAACAGTAGGTAAGTACCTAAATCAACAAATCTGAAACGAAAGGGATCACTGCCGATACGTGACTGAGGAGTTATAAATACATTGGGAACATAGATACTTTATATTGGAATACCAAATTGAGTGATTTTGGGTTGACGAGCTATTTCTCCTGCACGATAGGTTACTGTTAAAAGGATTTTTATATGATAGGACGCCAAACGAGCAGAATTACCCGATGGTAAGCAATCAGCGCCACCCATGCGCACAAGCAACAACAAAGGAGTGACGAGTGCGGTGTCGACCTTTTGGGGATTTAGAAATTGGGGGAAGGATTAAGCCTCCTTTAACCTATCACACGGGGAAACACAACGCTGTGTTTGTTTCACGCAGGTTTACTGTGATGCCATGGTATAACTCCCGTTGACCCCACCCACCCATTCGTGCCGAAGCATGACTTTTCCACACTTACACAGTATGAATGAAAACGTACTTATGTATTGTGGCGCGAGATAACGCGCAAGCTCTATGCGTGTGGAGTTGTGGAAGATAGGACACGGCATATAAGAATTTTTCGCTTTAAATGTACAGATTGCATATTATTATGTAGTAGTGGCCCGAAGATTAAGACACCCGCGTCCTATGCATGAGCACGCGGTTTCAAAACAAGCAAGTACCAATGTTACTTTTTCCGAGTTATTATTTTATGTCTAAGGATTTTTAGATACAATTGAGACACGGCGACAGAAAGCATCGCGAGAAAATAATCCTGAACTTTATAATTTCTAATTATAGGTTTGAATCGGTAATCCAGCTTGAAGAAGTGTGGTGTTTAATGCCTTCTCCGTTTTCTGTCAAAGGTTAACTGTGACGTATGATGAGATGATATAACATACAATTATTATGTGTCCACCTTAAATGTTACACAGACGTTTCAAGTAAGACAAATAGGTATGTCTGAGTATTGTTATAAGAAGATAAAAACATTATCAATAATAAATAAAACTACACCCTATAATCAAATTGCTTATTATTCTCAAAAGCTTTGTTTAACTCTATTTAATAAATCGTAATTTTCTTTGACGTAACTGCCTACTGTTGCCAATATAAAAGTTTGTATCCAGATCAAAATGAAAGGGTCAGGTCAAGTCACCTATTTAAAGCAACGATAGGAGGAAAACAGCCATTTAGCACGGTTAGGGCTAACCTTTTGGGTAATATGAGCCTTATGACCTTCATAATAGGCTCTCAGACTTTACAACATTCACATCTGCAAAATTTAATCGTGGAACCCCTTTTTAATATCTTTATTAAAATATAAAAATATAAATTCGTCATCTAAATTCCTTTGACACTGCCGTCGTAAAATAACAGCTGTTCTGCAAATATTTTTTTCATATGTAAGGAGAAATTGGCTTGTGTGACTAACACACGTGCGAATTTCAAATTGAGAACTATTAAATATATTACTAGCATACGATTGTAACGAGCTTGTGAATTGAAAAACGTCGTAAGATTATGACGGCTATTACAAAAATGAGCTTCATAATGTTCGACATAAAGTCGAAAATATAAAATATATTTTGCTTTCTCCAATTGTTGATAAAAGTTGTGAATTTTTGCCTAAATTTCAAGCAAGGTCTTAACACTTGGTTTGATAATGAATAATGATGATAATAATTTGCTATTTAAATTTTGACTTTATTAAATATGTGAGACGTGCCAAATTAAATTAAAAAAATCTTTCATTAAAACATTCTTTCATGAATTTAAGATTGGGCTGTTATTATCAGTAATGTAAAATTAACCGGTTTACACTAACTATACCTACGTAACGATACTAACACATTTTATTGAAAATCACATTTTTCAACTATCACTCAATTTCAAATTAACATAAACACTCTTTTTTAGTGTAATCTTCACCAAATATCGTCAGTCTAGTCGTGAGGACTCGTGTTTGTGGCCATTGAAGCTGGTAAAACAACAATTGTCCAAAAGTATTTCAAGACCGAAAATCTACAAAAGCAACTGAAAGGTCTTTGGCAAACAAGCGAAATATACAAGAAATCTCACTTTTTCAATAAATGGAGGTGAAACAAATTCGTACCTAGGGAATCATTTCGAGAAATCTTAAGGCTCGTATACGTTGGATGTGTGAATCGTGATATGTTGAAAGTCTTCGCTATACTTTTGCTTAACATCATTGTCTACCTACACGTGTTGTCGGTGCCAACAGTCAATGTTCATGCTGTTGATCATGCCATGTGCTGGCAACATCAACAGCATTAAATAGGCAAAATGAAATTTTGTTGTTCAATTATTCCTTATAAAACAAACAACGAGACGCTAATGGACACGCTTTAGACGCTAGCTCGCCGTCCGACCAGGACTAGAGGGCATACAATGACGTGTTAAAGAGTCAATCTTAAGTGTGAGAAAGAGGGTTTTTTTGTGTATTATGTCGGCAAACGAGCAGACAGATTACCTGATGGTAAGCAATCAGCGCCGCCCATGGACACCCGGAACGGAGGAGTTACGAGTGCGTTGCCGGCCTTTTAGGGATTAGGGATTGCGAGATTTAGGGATTGAGGAGGGATTGGGAGAGGGACAGGATTGAACCTCCGGTGACCTAACTCACACGGCGAAACACAACGCTGTGGTTGTTTCACGCCGGTTTCCTGTGAGGCCGTGGTATCACTCCGGTCGAGCCGACCTGTTCGTGCTTAAGCATGGCTCTCCCACACTTAAAAATAATGGGATGGGGATGGAGCTATAGATGTCATGATCATCATCATCCGAGCGTGCGGGGTGCAGCGTTTTGCACGCGTCTGAAAGAGACAGTGGAACATTACAGATGAGCTACAACAGGGCTGATATTTAGTCGGGGTCGTGGGACAAGTGAAACAAGGTACCGCGACCTTGGACTAAAGCAGGAGAAGGAACAGGGGCTTTTTTAGTCAGCAAGTGTCTGGCGCTCCCTCTTGCCATACCCTGGTCGAGAGAAGTCATTTGATAAGTTACCCTCCTAAAAAACAAAACAATAACGTTACATAACACGTGTAGCGCGTCAATTGTTACCTAGTGGATAAGGAGCTTTAGTTTCAGTGTCAGTGACCTTGAAATAGAAAAAAGGTCCAAGTGTTCTCCCAGTAATCGCGGGCCCAACGACTCGTCTTAATCAAAATCCACGAATAAACCGAAACAGTATCGCAGTTTTTTGGTGAAAATTATTTTCCTAACATTTTTCTTGTTGTTAACGTTTGGTGAGTTATGTAATTTCATTGTTTTACCTACTGTCGAATTGGGTGATTAGTTTGTCAACAGTTTTAATAAGGTATCTTAGAAAAAAAATGGTAAGTACCTGGTAACGGAATTCTGGTGTTGTTATTTTGATGTGTCGCAAAAGGCTCTTTAGAGAATTATTATTATTTAGAAACTGCCTCTGCTATAGATCTAATAGTTTTGTAAATAGATACATATTATAATATTCATAAACAGTGTCAGTCTTTTATTTCTGTAATTTTTAAACTAAGTGCGTAATTACTTATAATCACTTTCTCTTTTTATTTCACATAGAAACCAAAATCTGTCGCCAAGTAAAATAATTATGTAACCAAGGTCTTCAAGATGAAGTTCAAGTTTTCTGTGAAACTGTCTTATTTTCAAATGAAATTTAATTAGTAGGTCGTTTGACTTTAATTATATTGTTACGTGCCTGACGTCACGTTCCTAACTATGCGGGCTTGGGTTACGGGATTGGATGAAATTAAACACTAATACCGGTTTTCAGACTTTCTATTGCACTTAAGTGACAGCGTCCACGGATACGGATAAGTTATTGGCGTTCCTCTCCAGCAGAGTCCGGCCGACTGACACAACTTTGCCGTTCACTGTTCACGCTGACTTAACTCACTTAACTGACTGCACTTCACTATTTCACTGTACTTCACTATTTCACTCACTTTTCTTCTTTTCACTTCTTCCTTTTCTTCCGAATCGCTTTGGACTTAGAACTCAACTGCCAGCGGTGAGCCGCAGTTCCGCTTATATACCCCCGGTCAGGTTCTAGAACATTCAATTTCGTTATTCTTTTTGATCGTCATGCCTCCAGAACCTTCCAATAATTTCGTTATTCATTTTTATTTATTCTCCTTCTCGCTCCTTAATTTTTCATTACTTTCACTCAAATATTCCAGAAAGTTCGACAAAACTTCTATCAACTAAAAAACTTCATGTTTACGGCGAGACTCGAACTCGGGGTCTCTGTGGTGTAATCCACACGCCTTACCGATTACACCAACTCGTGTTGACAATTCACGACGAAATTTACAATCTCTAGGCAACGTTTGACAACCATCCATTGACGTCATGATGTCAAAGAGTTTTCTGTCACACTGCCCCCCTCTTAGATTCGCTCGTCCCGAGCATCGTTGCTGCCGTAATACCTCGCCAACCTGTCTATATGGACAACTTTCAAAGGGCTCCTTGAAGACTTCCGAATTCTGTAAGTAATGTCATTGATCTTCGTGACTATCTCGTAAGGACCTTCCCAACTCGGTTGCAGCTTTGGAGATTTTCCCTTCCTTCTGACTGGATTATGAAGCCAGACCAATGACCCCTCTTCAAACCCAACAGAATTGGCTCGTCGATCATAGCGCGTCTTTGCGCGATCACTAGCTTGAAGACCGGCCTCCCTGATCTGCTCATAAATGTCCAACATTTTTGCCCTTAACTCGCTTATGTAATCGCTAAACTCGGTGCGAGAGTCACCAGGTGGACAGCCCGATACAAGATCTGCCGGTAATCTCAATTCCCTTCCAAAATTTGCAAATGCAGGCGTCTTTGCGGTACTTTCATGTACAGCAGTCCGATAGGCAAGCAAGAAGAGAGGTATGTAAGTGTCCCAATCTCTCTGATGGCTGTCAACCACCTTTGCTAAGTGTCGCTCCAATGTTTGGTTGAAGCGTTCGACCATTCCATCTGACTGTGGATGATAAGGGGTCGTTCGAGTCTTATGGATTCCCAAAAG